TTCAGATGAGGGATCGAAGCGCTCTGGCCGAAACTCCTCCGGATTTGGAAAATTCTTCGGGCAATGGTGCATTGCATGAATGGGTATCTCCACAGTTGTTTCCTTTGGAATGACCCAGTCTCCGATCTGACAGTTTTCCAAGGCCTCTCTAATGGTGGCAGCTACGGGTGGGGAGATCCTCAACACCTCATTCACCACCTGCGCCAGACAGTTTCGCCAAAACAGAAGGCATTCGTTTTCAGTTGTTGCAGAATGGTTGTATACAGAAATAGCATTCAATGAGGGATGTTAATGCTGGCAGGAGATATCCAGAACTTCTTCCAGTCATATTCGTTGTATCTTATGGGATGCTGGACCCGCTTTCCAGCAGCTGTAGCTCCCCACAAATAAATCAGAGCAACCAGAAGTGGTACTAGGAGAGGATGCTTGTACCACCCCACCTAGCATTCCGGTTATGGTAAATTCCTCCCCCCCCCAAAAAAAAACACTTAGTCCTTTCTGTAGTGCACCAAACATGTTCGGAGCTTTTCCGAACGTCCGAACATGTTTGGGTGTTCGGCCGAACGCCTCCCGAACGTGTTCGGTCAAACATATTTCAGAAAAAAAAAAACTTTGATTGATTGATTGATTGATTGATTGATTGATTTTTTAAACAATGCTCCAATCTATTCGTGGGGAGCAGCACGTGCTGGGAACCGGGCCCAGCGTCCCATCAGAAAACATACTAGGAAACGTATGCGAAACAATTGAGATACCGGGGCCATTACCCGGCTTCCGCTAAAGAATCCTGAAAACACATAGGGACACGAGTTTGGTTACGAATTTGAGCATACCTCTCAGGCAAAAGTTGTTTGTCTTATTATTTTACATAACAATTTTTCTTTCAGATTTTTCTGAGATTGTTTTTTTTTTTTTTTAATGTTTGTGCTCGGAGGGATTTGGCGCTCGTTCGCGTTCTCGGTCAAGTTAGTGCCTACCAGCGGTGATAGTCCACTTCATACCTCTGATCGCTATTAGCAGGGTCCTTGGCCAACACGTGTATGAGTGTGAGTGTGAGTGTGAGTGTGAGTGGGTTGTGTCTGGTGTGTGGGAGAATGTTGGCCTTAGACACTGCTGTTATTCGGTTGGGGGTGGGGGACGATGAAAAGGGAGGCGCAGCTACTGGCAAATGCTTGGTCTTTGCGTTAGCCGGGCCCCCACCGGGGGCCCCACCCCATCCTTGACCGCCATGGTTGGGGCGGGGTACAACATGCATCCCTTCTGATGGCTGGAGGGAGACAACAAGGCTGTGTTCGCAGGGGTCCCCTGTATAAGCCTTAGGAGTAGCGGTTGGAATAGTGGTTGGTAGGTAGTCAAGGTGATTTGAAAGAATTTGAAAGATGATGAAAGATTTGAGAGAAGAATATAGGATAGATAAAAATAAAAATAAAAATAAAAATAAAAGCCATCAACATTTAAAACGACTCCTCCGGGGTATCTGTTAAAATTGGATCTATCCAGTAAGAGAGAAGATTAGCATGGCCCCTGCACAAGGATAACACACAAAAATCGAGAAATGATTCTTTTTTTTTAAATTAAATCAACACCTCTTCCTGCCCCCCACCTCTCTCTCTCTCTCTC